GGAAATTATTGTGTTAGCACAAGTCAGAGCTGACTAATCTTAGGTTCCTGTTAGAGGTGAGATGTTTTCTCACTAAGCTTATACTAAATTACAGTGATTAGAGGTTGGGATTTAACTACCTCTCCCTTGCTGTGTATGGGATTGTACAACTTTAGCCCATTCCAAGTTATTTCATTAGTCATTTGATGTCCTAAACACCTATGTACATCTGTATTAGGTGCTATTAAAAAGATACACAAAATGTTTTCATTGCTTTTAAGTAATGGTGAAATAATATTTTAGAAAGAACCTGGTACATAAAACATGCATGAACATTGAAAATGCATATGGACATGAGAGCACTGAAGAACCAACGAATCTTTAACGCCTCTAACTAGATTTTGAATTTTTGGCTTTTATCTCTTCCCCATTTGACTTTCAAAAAACAAACAAACAAAAAGGAGGAGATTATTTTAAGTATCTAAACTAACCTCATTGCTGTGGCTTGCAGACAAAAGGCGCTGTGGGATAATCTAAAAAAAAAAAGATAAAAGAAGGATTTGGGATTTGTTAAAGATTTTACACAATGATTTCATCTGTACTATGAAGTCACTTACCGGGGCTGATAGCGTGGCTCCCAGTAGCCCAAAAAGGAGTGGGATAATCTAAAAAAAAAAAAAAAAGATAAAAGAAGGATTTGGTATTTGTTAAAGGTTTTACACAATGATTTCATCTGTACTATGAAATCACTTACCGGGGCTGATAGTGTGGCTCCCAGTAGCCCAAAAAGAATTATGGTTTTCATTTTCAGATGAAATACCTAGGGAAAAAAAGTGAAATTTAGCTTTAAAAAAATTACATAAAAATCATGATAATAATTTGTTGGTATTTTTCAATTAGGAGAGTAATTGGTTGAATTTTACAGTATTTGCCTGTATATTAAGATTTAATATAAGACATAAATATCTATAATATATGTATTATTATTTTCTCTCAGAGAGACAAACCAAAATTGTTAGCTCATCCTTTTAGCTTGACCAAATGACTCACTTAGTGGCATATGATGCAGTTGAGTGAGTTATAAACAAGATGGCCTGATGCTTTGAGCTGTTCTACATAGAAAGAAGTGAGTCCCTTTGACCATGGGAGAGCCTATGACTGGGTCCTTATTATAAAAACAATTTTAATGTCTATTCAATGTAGTAGTAAAAATACTACAATAAAGATTTGACAGTAACAATTTAATAACAAATAATTTTCATTGAAAAGTCTAATAACATTAAGTATACATGAACACTAAAAAAACTGAGTCCATAGTTTTGTAACTCAGGAAAAAAGCTTATAAAATTAAGCTGCAATATTGATTTATAGTGCTACCCATGGTAGTATATTATGCCTTATCCTCCAAATGTGAAAACCCTGTCCTACTTCAAATCACTGATTTACACAAGTAGTAAGGGTGACCTTGGTAGGCTACCCTGTAGGATTGACTGAGTTTGGTTTTAATATTATGAAAGTGAAGATTTGATATCTTACCTCACTCCTTTGCCTATGAAGAGATACTAGATCCATGCAGGGTCTGTGTTCCTTTTATCTTTTAGCTCTACTGCTTAGAACATCCCTTATATTTTAAAACCCATCTTTAGAAAAAAGGGACCAATCATTTTTCAAAAGGGCCAGTGATTCAGTGGGTTTTAGACAATGGCTTAGCTAATAACCCCTTTCCTAATCATCTAGGTGGTAAATGGATTCCCACACTTTTAGTAATGCCATTAAATTATCCTCTGAGAAATGTTTTCTTATGATCATTCCTGGTTTCTGCTTTGGTTATGACTAAATCTTCTGGAATAATTTCATTCTGCTCCTTTTTTTAAAAATCATCTTGAAAATGGATACCATAATAGAATAACTTTGAAAGCCTTAATGAAGGTCAAAGATTAATGGTGGATATTTATTTTAAGAGTAAAATATAGATTATTAGACATAAGGCAGAGGTCTAAAAGACAAAAATTCAAAACCGACTTAGGGATGGTAAAGATTCTTTGGTTCTTCAATCCTGAACTGAGTAAATATGAGCTAATTTCATTTAGGTTCAATGTTAAAAAAAATCAGTAGATATCTTTGTATTAATGGAATGAAATGCTAAAAAAAAAAAAAGCCAAATCTCTATGTGTCCATGACATGTATATCCCCATGTGATTGAGTGTTTAGGATAAATAATTTCATAAATAGAAAGCATGATGGCTTTTATTTAAAAAGATAGTGGTGAGTGTTTTGCACATTAAAAATACTTTTTGCTAAATATGATTTTAATATTCAAAATACAACTAAGTGTTATTACCTGTTCATCATGCTATTTAAATTTTTTTTATAAAGTGAGGTTTGAGTTTATTTGTCTTGTTTTTCTTTGCTGTTATTATTGACCCCATTCTGATAGTCCAGGATCATAAGTGTTATGATAATGTATTATCAATTAATTTCTATTGTGGAAGATTTCTTTGGCTAATTTCATCTAGAAACAACGAATGGTGGCCTTATCATGTAGGAAAACAAAGTTATTGCCTTTAAATAAATTTGTTTTTTCTCAGTAGAATGATATACTTCTTAGAACTTACATGGCTTTTTAGTACTAAAATGATGATAGCATTTGTTGTATAGCCTAAAAAACCAAAAGGACAAAAAAAATTAGTTAAAATAACAAAACTTTTTTTTTTTTACTAAAGAAGAAAAGCTACTACTAGGATCATATATCTGTTAGAAAGGAACTTCCCCAAGATTTATGAATGCTATATTTTTAGATTGGCTAAGTAGACCACTCTAAATGCTGATGGCTGATTTAGCTATAGCTGGGTGATTAATGTAACAAATTGTTGCCTGGAAAACCTAGTAGATGAGTTGAGTGGTGGACATGGTACATGTTGCCATATTGCCTAATTTTCCCCCCTATTATTTGAATATTCTAAAGTAAAGCAGTTGAAACTGCTTTTTTTCAAGTTAACGTGGTGAAAGAACAGGCTATACTTTCCTATCTGATAGCTTCTAACTCCCTGTGTCACTGGAGGCAAAGTTATCTCTGGGTGGGAGAGGAAGAAGCAATATTACATTGCATTGTCTATATATTTCTCCTATTCAGCTATGTTGGACTTATTTTCCTATCCCATGTCAGTCACCTAGTAGGTATACCCACTGGGAAATTAAGTAAATGAGCCCCGTCATTCAGGGGACAAAAAAGGTGGTAGAATTTCATTTCCCCCCTATTATTTGAATATTCTAAAGTAAAGCAGTTGAAACTGCTTTTTTTCAAGTTAACGTGGTGAAAGAACAGGCTATACTTTCCTATCTGATAGCTTCTAACTCCCTGTGTCACTGGAGGCAAAGTTATCTCTGGGTGGGAGAGGAAGAAGCAATATTACATTGCATTTTCTATATATTTCAGCTATGTTGGACTTTTTTTCCTATCCCATGTCAGTCACCTAGTAGATATACCCACTGGGAAATTAAATAAATGAGTCCCGTCATTCAGGGGACAAAAAAGGTGGTACCGATCCAGAGCATTGTCAGTCTGTATGGATTAAGGCGCGGAAGCCTTAAGATGAGGAAATCCTGAACTAGGTATTGTCACTGTACCTTCATTATTTTGTTTTAGTTCAGTTACTAGGACATCAGACACCCTTCATTCACCTAAATGTACAAAAACACATATCAATGCCAAGTACACATGGATTATGTGCTATTGAAATGATCCGGATCTTTGTTCCAATAACATAAATGACGAAAAAGCAACAATGGCTTAATAGGTGAGTCCTTTCAAAATGTTATCACTGTACTTTTTTTTCCCTTCAACTAACTTGAAAAGTTAAGAGGCTCACAGAAAACTATTGTGAAGTAGACCAATATTCTGTGAATCAGGAAAGTCAAATTGAATTTTAGCATAGCTTATAATAAAAATAATTTTCTTACATGTGTGTTTTATTTTTTTCAGGAACTTATAATTACATATAAAGGTAGGCAGAAAAAATATATATATATATCACTTCCACATTTCAGTGAGAACGCTGAGGCACAGAAGGCTCAGTGACTTCATTCATTCACTCATTCATCCATACAGCTAATAGTTATTATGCAGCTTCAACAGTCCACATCTTTGCTAAGCATTGAGAATTTAGTATCAATTAAACAGACGTGGTCTCTGAATTCATGAAAATTACTGTGCCCCCCTCACACACACTGTTAAAAAATATGCAGAATTATGGCTAGTATGCAGGTCTTTTGATTCTTAATCAAATAATTTTTCTAAAGCACCAAGCTGCCTAACCAGAGAGGAGACACAGAACAACTTCAAAGACAGTTAACAGATAAAAATTATAAATGATAGAAATGAAGGTTTTCATAAGTTGCCAGAGTTGAAAAATGAATATCAACTCAATGAAAGTAATAGATTTTCTGAGTTTAACAATTACTTTTTTCATGAGTTGTACAGTAAATAAAGAGAATAAACAAGTTCTTAATAAAATATATTTTGGCACATAAAGTGTTCACTTTTAATTTCTATGAAACTCTGCTAAAGTGCCCCCTTCTGTTAAATAAGAGTACATTTCTGGATATTAATCATTACATGTCCACAAAGACAATATGTCCTAGCTTAATGGATCTAGTTTGATTATATGAGTCTAACTTTATTATGTTTAAGATTTGTATGTGAATGTGAGTTATGACTGTAAAGTATAATATCCAGGAGTAATTTGTTCAGGAATAGAGAGTATTAAGAAAATGAAAGTAATACATTCCTCCTCCTTTCACAAAAGTACCCATAAGTTTCAGGGGAATTGAGAGAGGCCAGCCCACACAACTAGGCTTGGGCTACAAACTATCAACTGCCTGTGATTCCCTGAAGCGGGGCCTCCAGAGCATTCGATGAGAGGCAGAAATGCATCCTCTCAAATACAACCCATCCTGGTCTGGGCCTATTCACTTCTTTTGTCCCCTGACCTGAAATGTTTCTTTTTTTTTTCTTTCTCCTGAAACCTTATAGTATTTGTTTGTACCCTTTGCTCTTTGTGAATTTCAAACCCACTACTGTATGGTCCTTATATTCTTTCTTCATGAGCTGTGATCAGAGTTTGGCCACAATCAGGTTTTTGTACGATAACCTTCCAGAAACATCTCCATTTTAATCAAAATCTTATATTTCTAATAACTTGATTTAAGATAAGTGTTTTTGGCTGATTTCTGGCTTTTTCCTTCTCGGACATCTAGCCCAGGCCTTGCTGTGGTCATGGGACTCTTGTATACGTCCCAGTCAGGGAGAGCAGTCATACCCCAGGCCAGTCTGCCTTAGCTCTCCCTCCGAATTCTGTGGATTGTCTTGTTTTTCAGCCTGTTACATTAACAGTTTGTTTCCACAATAAGACTTTATGTTTTCTAATTGCAATGGCCTTTTATAGCTCACAACATTTTTCTATCTTGTTTTCCTTTCTCCTTCCCCTCTTTCTTTCTCCTTCCCTTCTTCCATCTATTGATTTACTATTTTTTTCTCTTTTATCTGCCACTCTGTTTCCTTTTCTTTACTTCTACCTAACCTGGTTTACAAAGGCCTTAGTGAGCCAGCTCTTGCTCCTCCTTCACTGCTTTTCACTCAGGTCCTTGTTCATTAGGCTCTATGTCTGGAAAGCGCTCTCTCTGATCACTATACATATAACCCCGCTTAGATGTTCTGCAAAGCTTGTGTTAAGGTCTCACAATTGACATAGTTATTTATTTATTTGGTTAGCATTATTTATAATAATTTTTGTTACCTTCTACCACTAGAACATAAAATATAACTCCATTAGTGAAGACTCTTTGTTCTGTCCACTTTTTATCTCCAGTTCCTGGCCCATAATCACACTCATCTATTTATATACCTGTTCTTACTTGGAAATTCCAAAGATACATTTACATAATGAGATTAAATGTAACTTATAGCACTGACACATATTGAAAGTCATTGGAGTGTTTGAGATCAGATTTTATATTGTTTAATATAATTAATCTTCTTTCTAGAAATTCACCCAGTCACATAGACATATTGTTAATGAAATGTCTTTTATATCCCCCCCCCAAATTAAACAACTAGTTTGATTTAAATACTTCTCTATGATAGAATCTGTTACCTCACTTTTGGTGGAATTACATGACGAATGTGGTAAAAAGGAGTGGTCATTTGTAATTATGTGGTTCTATATTTGTAACGTCTTAATCTATACCTTAGCAGTTTTAGAAATGTCTACATTTTTTCCCCTGATGCTGTTTTACTAGTGAAAGGGGAACTGATATTTGTTGCTTGGAAAATAGGCTCAATGTCAAACCTGCCCTTTGTGTCAAGGACAGAAATGGAAGGTAGACTGGCAGACAGAAAGATCAGAATTAGGAAAAAATCTGAAGTTTATGAAAAATGATACTATAAAGGGTAACTGTATGCTGAAGGTTATTCAATATAATCAAGTCAGGTTATAGACACAAATATGGGTGAAAGGACTGCTATACATTTCTCTGTCATCCTGCTCCACTTTGGGAGTAATTGT